GATCCGATGCTACCTTGATGAGTTTCAAAAAGTTTGGTTTTTTATTTTGTGTTCCCCTAAAGGCTAAGCTTGTCCGTTCTTCAGTGTTCCGTCGCAAGACTGGTAGTTCAGTTCCCCTCGTCTTTTTTACAAGGGTCTATTTGGCTCAGCGTACACGAAGAAACTAGCTGCATGAAACGTATTTTAATGTATGTTGATTGGCGGGGCAAATAACTTTGATGTTGTCTTGTTTACTTCAACAGGAAGGGAAATAATTATGCATGAACAATTCTATTGTTGTCTTATTCAAGTTGGTTTTTAATGAGTTACAGGAATAAATGTTTGATAAAATATATTTATGAACGTTTTATAATTATAATCACATAATGATCAATAAATAATTAATACATGTTATGAATCGATATTTTTACGTAGAGGTGAAAACAGGCCAAGTGACCGGTGGCCTGGCCTTTTTTTTTTTAAAAAAAAAAAAAGAATAGGCTCAAGTGTGTTTAAAAGCTTGTTTAGCTTAACATGTTAGGTCTAAGTTTTTTAATAAGCCTATCAAGCCAACTTGGGCTTGTTATAAATTCAAAATTGTAATATTATGAAAAAATTATTTAATGTTATTATTTCTTAATGTGCTCCTTTGATTTTTCTTTTTATACATAGTTAAATGCTTTCTTGAATTTTGAAATACGGATAACAAATGAAGATAAAAATATAATTTAACATAATAATTTCAATAGATAATGTGATATTTAAATTTTTAAAATATAGATAAAATGGCAACAAAATTTTTGTTCTAAAAAGATCATTAAAATGAAGGGGAATAAGTGATAAATTAATTAACTTATGTGTTATGAATTATGATACCCCCTATATTTATTGTAGACTTAATAATTTTCTCCCTATTTATTGGTCTTATATAATTTTCCTTAGACATAGTCTTATTCCAAATTTTAATCATATAATTATAACTAGTTTTCAATAATATGCTTATTAATTATTTTAAGATTTAAAATATTTCCTATGACATTAAAATCTAAATAAAAGACAAGACTAAAAAATAATTATTAGGTCATATGTATGTTTTGCTTTCTTATCAGTATGTGTATTTTTACTATGTAATTTAAAATTTTTAAAAATACAAACTTTTTAACATGCTTTAGGTTAGGCCAAGCTTTTATACAGATCAAGTTTAAACTAAAAGATATATAAGCCTGTAACAAGTCATAGGTTAAGTTCATACCAATTTGCTACAAAACAGACCTAACTTGTTTTCGCCCTTATAATATGCTCCAATAATTATCATTGCCTAGTTCAACTCCAGTATTATTACTTCATGGCATCGAGATTAAAAATGAAAACAATAATCCTTCGAAATCTGGATTATGAGAGTTGGGAGCCAGGTGAGTCATTTTTTATTGGAAAATAATAAAAAAGGAAGGTGAAAATTAATAAAATACTAAATCAGGAATATCAATAAAAATTTAGTGTTGTCAAGACTAAATAAAGTATTATTACTAAATCTGATTTGGAATTTAGTAATTTTCAACTTCTTTTTTTTTTATTTGGATTGAATTTTGTGGGGCAGGTGTAGATCTTATTGTCTTGATTTGCTGACCACACCCATCCTCCCCCGCCCCAAATTTCAAACCTTGAAGAATCAAAATAAATAAATGTACATACCATGTTTTATTATTGGGATTTGAATATATTAAATTAAATGAGAAGTATCATAAAATAACATGCAATTGGGGTTTAAATGGAGAGATAAATAATTAATTTTAAATTTTCATATGTTTTTCCTAAATTCTACATCTTTAATTCAAATACAATCCAAAGGAATTAAAAAAAAACACTTCTATAAAAAATAAATCTTAAGCCATCTTAAATAATACAATTCATTAGAATTTAAAATTTAATCAAATATTTTAGCCCATGCATCGCACGGGAGAGAAATTTCTAGTTAAAACAGAAGAGGAAATGAATTAATCGTCCTATAAAAATCGGTCAATTCTCTTCTTTTTCAACCGTTCGAAATTATCTTTTCCTCTTCTACTTTTTAAATTTAAAAATCAAGACGGCGAACTTATTTTGTTGACTCTACATACATAGTAACTTCTCCCACTCCCAGAGGGGAGCAGCTAGACAAAAGCTACGTTGTTGTGTGTTGTGCCTGCTTACATACACTTCATTTATTTGATACCTCTCATAATAATTACTACTTCCAGTCTTTAATATAAGAGCTAGTTGACTAATTTGAATAGATTAAGAAAGTTTGTTAAGTTAGTTATTTATAATAAATATGTTTTATTTTTTTTAAAATACCCTTACTAATCAAGTGTATTAGCTTTAATATATGTAACTACAACAAGAACTACCACAACGAAAAATGGATAAATATGAAAGACAAAGTGAATTGGGATCTTATATTTAAGTTTAAATTGATAGTTAAACTAACTCTTATATTAGGAACCAGAGGTAATACTACGTGATATTAACCCAATAGTTGGCTGCAGCTTGAATTATGTCATTCGACAAGTAATTAGTTAAGGGTTAAGCTGCATCCAGCATTCTAAAATATTTTTTTGAATGCATCCATTACCCTAAAATATTTTGTGATACATCTATCATTCTAAAGTATTTTCTAGATGTGTCAAGTACCATAAAATATTTTTTTACGGATCCAGTGCTTCAAAACAGTTTTTTATGTGTGTCCAGCACCTAGAAATTTTTTTTGGTGTAGGAGGCACAAAAAAAAACTTCAAGATGCTAACGCACCTAAAAAATATTTTGAAATATTGAATACACCTGATAAAATATTTTGGGATGCTGAGTACACCTCAACCCATCAATTAATTCATCTAAGGCATTTCTGCTTCAAGTTCATAACATGATTATTGTACCCCCAACCGTAGGTAGCTTCAATTGGTTGGAGATAATCACAGTGTTCGCATTGTTCCTTATATGCTGTCAATTCAATTGGATCGGATGCGCATTTGATTATCCACCTCACATCTATCTAATTAAACAATAAGCGCCATCCTAAGTTATCAAATGAAAAAACTCTACGCACATAAAACACCAACAACTATTTTAAACACAGACACACACACAAACACACTTATAAGTTTGCTGGAATTTGAAAGAGAGAAAAACGTGAAGGATTGATGGATGAATCAGGATTCAAAGGGTGTTTGAAGTAAGTTTTCAAAAATAATTTTTCTCGATTTTGAGCTAAATACATAAGAAGAGTTTTATCGTAATTCACGTAAAAATATATTTTGTTAGCGGTTCAGTAAGCTTCCAAACATCCCTTGAGTTACACATAAGAAATATTTTGATCCAACCTCGTGCTCTATTTACCCAGCGTCAGCGTTACTCTTTCCTCATCCGATTAACAAAATTCCTGGCGTACTTGGAATCGTTTCCAACTGTTTCCTCTGTTGTTTGACTTTGACTTTGTATCTCTTTTGTCGTTTCTACCCAGCAAATAATTGATGATGACACGCTGACAAATTTCAATTAACAAAAACAACGGAAAGCAACTTGGTGCGTCCTATTCCTTTCTTAAATCATTCTATTCATTTCAATTTCCACTAAAGAGCTGTTGCGTGGTTAGTCTTACACTAGATTCTTCTTAATGGAATAACTACGTACATTATCACAGCTTCCAGTTTCCCCGGCACTAATTAACCGCCACGGATTCCCCCCTTGGTATTATTATTATTATTCTGTTTTTTCTTAAAAATAAAAAGTTACTCCGCGTAAATTTAATACTGCCTCTCATCCTCAACATGCAAGCTAGCTATAGATTTAATTTTGTTCTAAATATAAAATTATAATCTATTTTGTCTCTTATATTTAATAATTTTTTTAACGTGGTCTTGACAGTGCAGTGTTTACACGTGATAAAGGGTTTTTATTATAATAAACATAACCAACAAGGATATTTTGGAAAAGACAATGACTATTTATTATAAATAATTAAATAAAATAATTTTTAAAATTTTTAAAAATCAATTATCTAACTCTTATATTGAGTATTCAACGTAATATGATGTAATTAGTATTCTTCTTAGATAATCAAAGTTTATTTCCTCCCATTCTAATAGCAAGAGTTAATTAAGAGGTTTGTTTTTGTATTAAGGGGGTGTTTGGATAAGAACAAAACTATAATTTTAGAAGTGCTTTTACGGCATACGAAATAAATATGTGGATGAGTTTGTTTTGATTTGCGGAAAAGTACTTCTAGAGTTTCCTAAACACTCCCTAAATATAAAATGTCAAATATGAGTTTTTATCAACATGGTAATGCTTAAATAAAGTGTTTTAGAAAAATCAATATATATATAAATAATTAACTTAATTAATTTTTTTAATATCTATAAATTAATTATTAAGTTCCTGTGTTTAAATCAGAAAGCAATGTTATTTTTAATTAACAATATGAACAATATTTTTATTTCGTAATTCTTTCAACCTCAAATCTGGTACTTATCCAAAAGGAGGAGGCACGAAGATGGGACATCAGAGTACGTACCAAACGATGCTGGTACCGTCGACCCCTCACTTTTGCAGGCAGATAATTGCTAAGGATGAGAAACACTACTGATTATTTTGTTTTATGCATGCTGTTAACTAGGACCGCTTGTACCTAGCTTTATCTTCTTCAAGCTGTAGCTTGCCTTTGTTACTAAAAAAAAAAAAGAGGAGGCAAGGCGCGAGGAGTGAGGACGGGGTTGACATTTGACACTTGCTAGATTCTGTACCTTAAAATTGCACAGAAAGGAATCTCCCCGTCCCATCCCGGCCCCGTACCTATATTTTTAATTTTTTTCTCTTTTATTGTTGACATATTTTGCCGCCAAAAATCCGCAGCCTCCCTCAACCGTCGATATGGTGGGCCCACCTACCTTGATAGGGGAATTGGGCATTGGGTCCCGCGACTCCGATCCTTAGCAAAGCAAGGAAGCAAGAGAAATGGATGGAAGCGGGTCCTCTTTTACAGCCATCCATGCCATTATTCGCTTTGAGTCAGACCAAAGCGACTCCGATTTCATCTCTAGTCTTTATTCTCTCTGCTCGATTCTTCTCCCTCGCATCAGAAATCGCCATTTCTGAGTTATTTCTCTGTTTTGGGTCTCCTTATTAATTTCTCTTCTTCTCTTGAACTTCTTGGTGGGGTTTCTGGGTCGTTCCGCTTTCGTCTTTTCTCTGTGAACTACGAAGTGGGTTTCTGATTTTGGCTTCTGGGTCTGTTTGTGTTTTGGTTTTTGATTTTGTGAGTTAGGGGAAATTGGAGATGTTGGGCTCAAACACCAATTTGGTGACCACGGTAATTGGATTTGGCATGAGTGCGACTTTTATTGTGTTTGTCTGTACAAGAATAATCTGTGGAAGGCTGCGAGGGTCCTCGGAATCTCATAATATGTTTGAATTTGAACCTAGGATGGACATAGAACAGGTAATTTTAACTTCGCCTCTTGCTTGTGAAAATCACTTATTCGTGCACTTTGTTCAGCTTTTCTTGAATTGCGTATCTCTAATTTGTGCACGGTTATGATTCCTCCATAACTGAGCTGATCCTACTATCTTCCACATTGCTATTCAAGTTAGCTTCGAACCTTGAAGCTCATGAGAATTGGGACAGCCGCCAACTTTCTATTGTTCTTTAACTTCTGATACTGATGCAATTAGGTAAATGTTGTATTCTTTTTCTTAATAGTAAATACACAATATCCCAAGAGTGAACAACAACAACAACCAAGTTTTATCTCACTAAGTGGGCTCGACTATATGGATCGAATGATGCCATTGAGTGAACGTATAGATTTACTCCCGTTAGTCCCTTCGGTATACAGATTGGTGTATATTTATTCTATTTTCAATGACTTGCTAATTAGTTTAGACTTCAGTGACTGATTCATATGAAAAGATAGTTCGGCGACTATTATGTGGTTGGGTTGGGTTGAAAAGAATTGATATCTCCTAAATAAGGTCTTAAGTTGAGCCTTGGGGATAGAAAAAATAAGATTGGTAAAGCTACCCTAGACCAACTTGGCTTGATGGTTGTCAAAGGGGGGAAAATGGATTAGAGTGTAAGGAAATGCATTTTCAGGGCCAAATTGTGTACTTTAGACCCGTGCTTTCGAAAAGTGTGGTGGATAATAGAACGAAGCTGCTATAATATTTCATCAGACGTAGAAATGGCAACGGGTTCTCTGTATTTAATTACATATTCTGCCCCTTTATTCTCTGTATTTAATTACATGTTCTGCCGCTTTATTCATGTCTTTCAATGATGAATTTGTATGTCCTAATCTTCCGCTCACCGGAGATCTCTTTAGTATCAAGGCCTTACAACGGCATTCTCTCTCTCACCCTATCCCCCAAAGAACAATAATCTGTGTTTCTTTGACTTGAGTGCTTTGAATTTTAATTTCTCACTGTTTTTCGATAGCCAGAACATCTTGTTAACCGCTCAGAACCTGTTCTTGTTACTGCAATTCCCACCATGAAGTTCAACCGAGAGGCTTTCAGTTCTAGTGAAAATACACAGTTAAGTTTGGCCACTCATTTGCAGGTCATAGAGAACCTCCTTATATACATTCATCAAGTAGTAGGAATCAATGAAATTGATGAATAAATGAACTACTTTTGCCTCTGCAGGTGTGTGATCTGTTTGGCAGAGTACAAAGAAAGAGAGGTACTGCGCATCATGCCAAAATGTGGTCATAGCTTCCATCTTTCCTGTATTGATATGTGGCTGAGGAAACAATCCACCTGCCCGGTATGCCGTCTTCCATTGCAGAATTCTTCTGAAACAAAGCATATGAGACCGGTAACGTTTAGCTTAGGGCAAGGTGACTCTCAGACTTCTGAAAGTGGAGATATTGAGAGGAATACTGAACCTGTGCCGGGGAATCCCTTGTCCTTAGAGGAATCAGATGCGGCAGAAGCGGAAACAAGGCAATGATGTGAGAGAGCCAAGCAAGGGCTTGTTGTGCTCAAAATAGAGTAGTGTATACTTTGTTCATCCACATGGGAGTGGAAGCTTCTGTTTGGGATTCAAATTCTTTGTCTATAATATGGGATTGGGATTGAATTGGGCGTGTAAAAAACAGGTAATATCACGTGTATAAAGATTTCTGCAACTTAGATGCACATAACATGACTCCTTTAGACTCGGATGTCATTGGCTTGGATTTTTGTTGATTTGATGGTAAATTTATGGTTAAGTTAGGATTGGGGAGAATAAGATTAAGAAATTGAAGGGATTGTTTGATCTAGCGAAACGTATTGATCACACGTTCCCTTTTCTTATTCTCTTAAATCCAAATATATTCGAGTCTCCATGCGATGCGTTCCAATTTCCATGTGGGAGTTTTCTGAAAATGTTTTTAAAATTTTTTTTCATAACAGCCAATTAATAAAATGAAGCAATTAACCTAGCTTTTCCTACAGCTTATGTGTGTGCATCATGGCCATACCACCAAAAAGCAATAAAAAAACTTTCACATTTAACATGGTGATGATTAAGCCGTGTACAAACTGACCATTAAAAGTTAATAACGATTTGTCATGGACATTGGAATAAAATCATGCCATATAGTTAAATGATTTGCAAGATACTCCTTTAGTCTTATTTATATGATAGAGAAAAAAGACATTTTTTGGTCTTATTTATAGGGTACTGAGAGAAATTTTTTGTATAGATGTACAATTTTATCATTCATTTATTATTGTGTTGACTTTGTTTATGTGAGGTATAATGCATATTAAATAGGGATAAAGTTGAAAAGTTGTTAAATTTTCAATGAGAATTAATAAAATTTAAGATTTTTCTTGATTTATGTAAAACATGTTAGAAGTGACTTATAAACAGGACTATAAGAGTATAGTATAAGAGAATGATGATGAGGGGTTTACATTAACAAAAAAAAAACTAGTTATGAAATCAAAATGACCACCAGGTGTTTGTGAAGTCAAGGGTGATGATGAAGTCTAGAAAGCTGCATGATTTTTTTTTTTTAAAAAAGCATGAAGTTATATGATTTTAAATGATAATGTTGTTTTGGTTAAAAAAATGGTTATGTTGTGATAATAATGCATTTTGGGGCGGTTATTAATGCGCAAATTCAAATATGAAATCGTGGCCTTTTTAGACTAATCATTAATTGAGGTGGTAATATGGGTCAACCCGTGAGTTGTAAGTTGCCTCATGATAGGTTAGGGTTAAGTAGTGCGAGTTGAAAAAGACATGTGTAATGACGGGTTGACTTTTAGCTAACCTTAACCCATCATGGTGGGTTGATAGGTTGGCCTGCTAACTATTATTTTCTTTTTTTTTTCTTTTCAAATATTTTTTCTTATACATATAAAGAAAATACAATGAAATTTTTATTTTTCCTTCAAATATTTGATTGAAAACACCAAATAAATGATATTAGTATTTTTTAAAATTTTTTAGATAGGATGTAAAATATAATAATATAATTATAATAATTAATAAAATTTAAAAATATCAAAAAAATAAATACGAGCTAGCCTGCGTGTTGGCAGGTTAGCTTACTGCGGGTTGTGGGTTATACGATACGGGTTAAAAACATTGTATTGAAAACCGGATCGGACCGCCCGGTTCAGACCGGAAACCGGTGAACCGGCTAGGAAACCGATCCGGTTAAGCTGTGAATCGGGTTACTGTGTGACCCGGACTGAACCGGGGTGACCCGCCCAGTTTGGTGGATCAACCCAGTCTCCCCCTTTTTTTTTTAAAAAAAAATTTTGATGATTTTTTTTAAAAAGCTGTTGATAATTAGGACTTAGTGATTGAGTAATTATAAGGAGAAATATTTTATTATCATATATCCATTTTGATATTCTGTTGGGATGAATATTTAGTGATTTTAATAGTATGATATTATAAGAAGTTGTAAGAATGTAATTATTTTACTAGTAATTCAAGATATTAAATTGATATCTAATTCTTAGTGAACATTTAAATTATTTTTTATTTTTTATTTTTCACCGGTTTGACCCTGGTTTGACTTTGGTCTGACCCACTGACCCTTCACCCATTGCTTTGACCGGTTCAATTGCCGGTCCGGTTTTCAGTACCTTGGTTTAAAAGTTTCATTTGACTTTTAGTCAATCTTAACCTGTCATTTTTTACGGGTTGACAGATTGGACTCATGAGTTCAACCCATTTTACCTGCTCTAATCAGTAAGTAACCTTAATGATTAGAGATCAAAGATCTGAATAGCCATTGCATTACTATCACCATCATTAATTAATTTATTATTATCGTTATTATTAGGGTTACCATGTACGGAGGACCAAAAATCTGTAAACAAATCAACATAAAGTTAAATTTTAGGGTTTAAAAATAAGATGAGATCAAATTTTAAGTAGCACGATCATTAGTTCCAAGTTCTAAACAAAATCAAAACATGGTAAAATTCAGCTGGTTTTAACCCAAGTGCTGCTCTGACCAAAATTAAAAAAAAAAAAAAGAAGTGCTGCTTCATTATTATTATCATTACCACTACTATGAACCTATGATAGCGGCAGAGCTGCTTGTGTCTGTCTTTACACAAAAGCCTCTCCGGAGGCTTTAACAGCAAACACTGAACCGCCGAATGAGTTCGCTCTACACAAGTCGCATCAGACCCCACAATGCTATCGGCTTCCTCCAAATCCTTTCCTATCATTCGGCCCAGAAAAATTTTCCGGTCATTTCGAATTCTGCTGCCAAAACCCTAATTCCTAACCCGAATCCCTTAAACCTTGATCCCACAACTGTCCGCCAAGCTCTTCTTACTTACAGTAATGACTGGCAACGCGCATTCGACTTCTTTAACTGGGTCCAGAGCCAATACCGCCTCCAGCTCCCCACCGATGCCTATAATCACATGCTCGACATTCTCGGTAAGTTCTTGGAGTTTCAGCTATCCTGGGATTTAATTCAACGTATGCGGAAATTCCCGTGTTCTTTTCCGGACCATGCAACGTTTCGAATCATGTTTAAACGTTATGCGTCGGCACAGTTGGTGAAAGAAGCGATCGAGGCGTATGAAAAGCTAGGGCAGTTTAATTTAAAGGATGAAACTTCTTACTGTAATCTTATTGATGCATTATGTGACTACAAGCATGTGCATGAAGCCCAGGAATTGGTTCTTGGGAAGAACGAGAATATAAAGTCGGAAGCCAGTGCGAAGATTTATAATATTCTTCTTCGCGGGTGGTTTAAGTTGGGGCGGTGGAGCAGGTGTAGGGAGTTATGGGAAGAGATGGACAGGAGAGGAGTTCAAAAAAATCTGCGTTCATATGCGATATATATGGACATATTATGCAAAAGTGGAGAGCCTGGGACAGCTGTGAAATTATACAAGCAGATTCAGAGCAAACATATGAAACTTGATGTGGTGGCCTATAATATTGCTATTCGTGCCATGGGTCTTTCAGAAGGGGTTGATCATTCAATTGAACTCTTTCGTGAAATGGAATATTTAGGATTGGAGCCCACTATTGTGACTTATAACACTGTCATCAAGCTTTTGTGCGATAGTAACAGACACGAAGAGGCACTGGTAATACTAGATACTATGCGTAAGAATGGATGTCAGCCCAATGCAGTTTCATATCATTTCCTTTTTGATTGTATGAAGAAGCCAGGAGAGATACTTGCGTTGTTTGACAGGATGATTGAAAGTGGAGATCGTCCAAGTATGGACACCTATGTGATGCTAATGAGGAAGTTCGGTGGATGGGGATATCTTCGACCAGTTTTTGCGGTGTGGAAGAAAATGGAAGAACTTGGATGCCGTCCAGATGCATCTGCTTACAATGCTATGATTGATGCTCTTGTGAAAAAGGGATTAATGGACATGGCTAGGAAGTATGATGAAGAGATGTTAGCAAAAGGACTTTCACCCAGGCCAAGGAAAGAGGTGGGGACTGATGAATCCCTCAACGGCAGCTTCTCTTCAACTCAATGCAAAAGCTTTTAGGCGGATGCCGTCCAGATCCATCTGCTTAGAATGCTATGATTGGTGCTCTTATGAAAAAGGGATTAATGGACATGGCTAGGAAGTATGATGAAGAGATGTTAGCAAAAGGACTTTCACCCAGCCCAAGGAAAGAGGTGGCGGCTGATGAATCCCTCAACGGCAGCTTCTCTTCGATTCAATGCAAAAGCTTTTAGGCTTCTCAGCAAGACTTGCTTTCCCTCCAGCAAATCGTCTAAGCTTAGCATGGTGAAGTGTTCTGCTGCATCGTTTCCTTCCAAATGCAGCCGACCCTGTCACCCTGTTTCCTGGCAAATGACATTGCCCCTGAAGTCACCCCGTCACCAACAACATTCTAGTTCTTGCCTGCTCTCTCAAAGGTCCGTCTTAATGCCTGTGTTTCGTTGCGCATTAATTGGTTGAAAAAGAACCATGAAATGTCCAATTCTACGACTTCAATCCTTAATTATAACTTGGATCACTTTGTGAGTGTTTGCCCCATTTTTCTTCTAATTTTGCGTGTGCTGCAATTGATGCCGCTGGCATTTTGAATTGTTTTGGGCTGCTTCCAGGTGGAGTTGTGTTGGATAAGACAGGAGTGGCGTTACCAGATGTTTAGGATCCTGTTGTTGACATGGATGCCACAAGTGAGATTGGTCAATACATGATCCGAAGCCACGAAGACTATTCCAGAATCACCATTCTCTTGGCTTCCATTTCTGTTGCAACAACCAGAAACCATTCTCTGAACACGTGTTACATCTTCACATTCTGTTATGTGTATAAAAGGATTGTAATGGATTATTGAGAATGAGTAGAATAAATACTGTCTTTGGCCAAAAAAGAAGAAAAGAATAAATACACTCAAGAGCGGCCCTCCCTCAGCATCAGCCCTTGCTCAGTACTGTAAAATCAATTCATGACAGTTATCTCATTTAGAAAATCGATTCATTCACCGGAACAAATGATCCCAATCCCAAGGCAATATTAGGTACATGAAACGAAAGGGCATTATTATATGATTACCTTATGTTGTGAGGCAATGGGTTTTCCCATTTCCTGTTTAGAAAACAAGTGTCTCTGATTAGTATGTTCTCATTAAATTTAAGATCAACTTTGTAAGATGGCACTTCGGAGATCTTCGGCAAAGCCTCCTTGTCGTTGGATTCTCTTGCGGCTTCAGGAAGGAAAACCATCGCATTAAACGCCTTTATGTATAATAAATTAACCGTATCGCTTATGATTTATAATTAGTGTAATTTGTCATCCTTTTTATATCTCATAGACATATTGATGCTAATACGCTGAGCAGATATTTAATAAAAATTTTAGCAACCAATAAATTAGGGTATCTCGATTCTCTCTAATATATTCTAATTTTAAATGCAAGATCTATTTTGTAATGTAAGTTATACTGTAAAATGAGTCTTACATTTAAAATAGGAGGAGTACCACAATTTTATTTAGATTTAGAGTATTTAAATTTTATTTTATTTACTTTAAATTTTTTCTTTTAAATTTTATATCTTTATATTTTAAAAATTTACAACAAATCATGTTTTATGTAAAATGCAAGGTAAAGAAATACAGCTACATTAAAAGTTAAAATTAAAATTAAAAATGCATCAATAGTAAGACTTCGCGGATGTTCGCTCGCTTGGCAGAGACAACGACCAACGGCTGCGCGCGTTGGAGGGAATCATATCCCTTGTCTGGTGAGTAATTTCCACTGAAGAATCCCCTCCGTGCAAGTGAGTAATCTCTCTGACGCTATCTTACTGCCGTTTTCCTCCCTCTCTCTAGCTCCTTTGTGTCTGTCTGCTGTCTGCTGTCTGCTCTTATCTTACTGCGTCTCAGCCTGTCTTTGTTTCATTTTGCTGGTCGGAGCTAAAAACTAGAAGCTCGCCTTTCGGGTTTTGGGATTTTATGGTTTTTGTTTGCCGAAAGTAGCGAAGACAACACAATTAATTTGTTGGTTAGAATATTGAATTTGATTCCTCCTGCCTATTCTGCTGTGTTTGAATTTTTGTATCTTTCACTACTCATTATGATTCTCGGGAGCTACATTTCTCGTGTCCTGATTTTGTGGGTATGTGTTTTCATTTAACTTATCCCGATGATATCATGTGGATACATTAGCAACTGTTGAACCCTTTGCGTGAATTCAGTGGGACTGGCTTCATATTCTTTTATACAACCCAATGCTAGTATGCTTGTTGCTTAACATATTGAGTTTTTCTTAACCCAATATTTTGCAGGATGTTGTCTTATTATACTCAAATTTATCGCTAACTAGATGTGAGCCCCCTGCATTGCAGGGAATCTGAAAAATAGGCCACACTGTACTATTCAAATAAGCACGACTTGTTCAATTCTAGTCTGATGGGACAAACTTTAGCTTCACTTATTCTCTTTCAGACATTTCTTTTTTTGGGTATAATTCAGAGTATCCTCAAGTCACTTTGAGCTTAAGACTAATCTCTGTTGAGCCGGGAGTGTTAAGCTTAAAGCCTTCCCAATAAGTGCACTTGTTGAGATTCGAACTTGTGTTCTTTTCTTTACGAGAGGTGAGACAGTTTACCATCTCAACCAACAGTTTGTTGGTCTTATTCAGGCATTTTGAGAAGCTGAGAGTTTCTCCATCATGTATCTTTTTCCCCCCCCTCTTCTTTGGATACAAAGATGAGGCTAAAAGCCCAGGAAGATGTATCATGTATCTTTAACGTAAAGGGGTAAAAAAAACGGTTGAGCTTAAAGCAGTTTTATTGTTGCCTGATCATTCTAAAGTGCATAGAGGGATGTATCGGGTTGCTTGTGTTAAGACTTGAGACTTTATATAGATATCTTCCTCTTGATTTGTAAGAATGGATATTAGTTAATAGTTATGCCTTTTTTATTTTATTTTGTTCCTTGAAATATAAAGTTTGGCATATGGGTTGTATAAATGCTTAGAAATGGCAGTATATAAGGTCTTCCACTCTTTGTGGTTTTTAAAGTAAACTCTCACTTTTGAGGGTAAACATCGCAAGAACTCTATATAGTAGACTGCATAGTTATTCAAATGATTGCTTTTGGTTAGAATTGGAATCAAGTTGTTTATCTCAAGAAAGTTAATGAAGTCTGAATAGTTTGCTCTGGTAATAATATTTATTTATTCTTTTTGCCTTCTCTTTTAACACTCTTTCTATGTCCTGTAGGATAAATGTCATGACAAAGTGAGTAAAGCTTTATGTCAGCTCAAGCTAATAATGCTAGAGTTTAGTTGACTTTACAGTTTGTGAATTATAATTGCTCTCAGGTTCTGTTGTTTTTAGGGATAATTGGCAGAATTCTGTGTGCACTTGCTTTGGGGTCGGGTTAATGGCTGCACACATTGGAGTCATATCCCCTTCTACCTTCTTCCCTTCACTCCGTTGCCTTCCTCATCACTATATAACCAAAACCAAACCTTTGATTTGTAAGTAATGGCACGAACTAAATCCATTTTTTCCGCAACTTCTACATTGAGTTCCATGGAGTCATTGCAAGCATTTTTCCCTGCTGCCTTTTTAGTTTTCTTTTTTCCTTTTTGGATATCCAGGGACAAAAAAATTACTTTTTTGAGCTCAATTGAAATTCCTCGTTGGGTTTGAAATATTGCTGGTCAACGTTTTCAATGTGTGTGTGTGTGTGTTTTTTTTTTTTTTTTTGAGTTCTTTTAGATTTGAGGGCATAATTCTGATGGTCTAAGAAACTTTATGCTTTTCATTTTCCTATATATGTGATGTTTCGATAGTTTGTGGTCAATTGAAGGTTTGCTGAAGCAAATTAGTTGAGTTGATTATATTGTACGTGGTAAAAGTGCAATTTTAGTCTGAAAGCTTAAAGATAAGAGTTTGCTGGATGGCTAAGCGATGACTTTCTGCTAAAACTGTATATCCCGTTTGAGTTATTTGAGGTCATGAATGTTGTGTTTCTCAGAGGGGAAAAAAGCGGTTGATCACTTTATAATCCTTTTTCAGTGGCTAGTATGAGCAATGATCCAATACGTGAGTGGATTCTTTCTGAAGGAAAAGCCACACAGATAACCAGAATCAATCCTATTGGTGGAGGTTGTATCAATCTTGCTAGTCGCTATGACACTGATGCTGGCTCTTTTTTTGTTAAAACAAACAGGTATATGACATGTTAACTTCCATGGAGGTCCTTGGTTTTGAAATGTCACTCACTGCATGCTGCATATTTTTTATCCCATTCAAGTCTTTAGATCCTCTGCTATATTAAGATTTTTGTCTGGTTGGAACACTGTGTTAGGAGTATTGGACCATCAATGTTTGAAGGAGAGGCTCTTGGTTTAGGAGCAATGTATGAAACCAAGACCATTCGTGTGCCTCAACCATTTAAGGTGTTGAAAATTGAACTTGAATGTGATGGAAGCTACTTGTTTCCTAAGCTCTTTGATGTCAGCGTAAGTCCAGTTATTCAAAGGAACTTAATTTATCTTTTAATGTATCGTAGGTTGGATCATTGCCCACCGGTGGTTCTTTCATCATTATGGAATTCATTGAATTTGGAGCTTCTAGAGGAAATCAGGTAAGCTACTTAGAAATTATTTCTGATTAGTAAAACCCGTTATCCTGATATCTATTCTTGTTCCCCAGTCTGATCTAGGGAGGAAGCTTGCTGAAATGCATAAAGTAGGAAAATCCAGTAAAGGTTTTGGTTTTGATGTTGATAACACCATTGGCAGGTATACTTTATCTCTGTTATGAAAAATCCTTGAATAGAGATAGGATTCTAATGACATCATAAATATTATTTGCAGCACCCCACAGATAAACACCTGGTCATCAGATTGGATTCAGTTTTATGGTGAGCATAGATTGGGTTATCAACTTAAGTTAGCACTGGACCAGTACGGTGACAGAACTATATATGACAAGGGTAATTTTCATTAATAGTTACTGTTTTTTCTTCCCAATGATTAGTTTTTAAGTCTGAAATCTTATCTAGTAGATTCATATTAATAAAAGTTGTAGCCGATTAGTTGAAAATGCTTGAACAAATATATGAATGAATGCCTCCTGGCAAAGTTTATTCACTGGTGCTGAACTAACTGCAAGTCTCTTCTTGGTCCAATCTAAAATTTAGTGAAGACCATGGTAGCAGCTTATTGATTTGGGGTTCCTCAGTTTTATCTGTCTTCCTGGTGGAGTGATCCAACTCAAAAGAGTGAAGTGCATAGAACATTCACTAAATAATTTCTATGGAACTATTATTTCAGGTGTTAAAGAATTTAGTATTTACATTGATTCCCATAGTGAGAAACTGAGAACTATAGGTGTTCTCATGCTCATAGTATAATGCTGATTATCAGTCATTACAATTTAGATTCTCTCGAGCTGATGGCATGAAGATTTATTTCGAAGAAATTTTCTCTATTTGTAATTAGCATGTCATGTGATTTTGCTTTTTCATGATGACTAAATTTAACAGGGCAAAGATTGGTAAAAAGTATGGGGCCCCTTTTCGACAATGTGGCAATAGAGCCATGCTTGCTACATGGAGACCTCTGGAGTGGAAATATCTTCTCTGACAAGAACGGGGAGCCTGTTATATTGGACCCAGCATGTTATTGTAAGTCATCTTTCGTCTAAAGACCAGGTTTGGCCAAAAAGGCAAGAGGATCTTTTTTCTTAAAAGCAATGCTACGGTAACACTAGTTTTGGACTTGCACTAATTGAGCGGAGCAGTGACAAAATTAGAAGCTAAAGGGATTAGTTCTTCCTACCCGTTAACTGCTAACCTTTATTCTGCATCAGATTGCAACCTTTATATAATCAAAGCAGGGTGTTAAGTGATATGGTACGACGTTTCAGGGATAATAAATTATAACATCTGGGTTTGGACTGCCATGCTTTTAATTGTGCGCGTAAGAATGTATTTGCTTAATTGAAGCCGAAGAGGTCCATAATATTCTTGGTGCTTTCTATTAAAAACTGTTTCTTAAAACTCAAGGTCAATTGTCATGATGGTTAGCGGAAGCATAAGTATATGCAACACTTGTTTTTTATCTGCGGACATTTACAAGTGAAAAAATAGTGTTATGCAGCATAGAAATAGTTCTGATGCAAAAGAATATTGAACAGGAGCTTGAAAGCCCCGCTGGACTTTTTTAGGATGAAAAATTTTGCTCCTTGTGAAAAAATGAGACAAGCTTTAATAGTTTAAGTATGATTCCATTATGCAAAAGAGTTGCCTGCCAATACTAAATAAATTTGACTTCACTGAATTTGTGATCTTGGAAATTATTTGTAGAAATGACTTCCACTATGTTCTTTGTTGCCCTATTTTATAGATGGACACAATGAGGCGGAATTCGGAATGTCCTGGTGTGCTGGCTTTGGAGGATCATTCTATAATTCGTATTTTGAGGTAATAATGCTATCTGCTTTACGGTGCAAAGGATTTATTGAGCATAGAGTATAACATTCTTACCTGAACTAGTGCAATATAGTCTTCTCTGTGTCACCCAAAAAAAAAAAAAAAAAACTCTTCTTTCTCTACTTTACATGGAGTCAGTCAATAATTGGCGAAATAAAAAGATGGGTTTTATGAACTACAAATCAAATAGAATACCTCGAACATTGTGTTGTTAACAATAATTGTTGGTTTTAACAAGCGGTGTCAGCTCATATAATTTCATGTGATAAACGTGGATTAGCAAGTGTGTAATAATAATTTCCTTGTATGTATGTATTTTATCGTCAGGTGATGCCCAAACAGCCAGGATTTGAGAAGAGGAGAGATCTTTACATGCTGTATCACTACTTAAATCATTATAACCTCTTTGGTTCCGGCTACCGGTCATCAGCCATGTCCATAATAGATGATTACCTGGCCATGCTGAAAGCTTAGTACATTGTTGATAATAAGCTAGCATGTAGAGAATGAGGTTCTTGTCCTGCACATATTGCCATGCGGCTCAGGCTTATCATTGCGTTCTGCTAATTTCGGTAGCGTTGTCTCCTCCATTTATGTAGCTACAGTTTCGGGTAAGCTTCATGTTTTATTCTTGAATGGGGGAGTCTGGTTTGGGATAATGTTTCTCTCGCGTGTCTATATATATTATATAGATACATGTATATCGTCTGGCACCGTGAACATTTCGACATGATCCCTCTTGTTGTACTCTTTGGTCCACGATGAAAGGCAAAGCCTCCACTATTTCCAGTAACCCACAGATTACAGCTTTCCCTGCCCCTTGCCTATAACAAGACGAGACGACCATTAAAAGCCAGAGCTAAATTCAACCTTCATCCCCAGAATTGCACTGCTTCTACTCTTAAACATGATGATGAAAATTCAACTCCTGCAAAGGTCATCTGATTCTGGAGCCAATATAAAGGATTAACCACACTACCATGATGACTTTGCTGAGCCCGTTTATTTCGAAAAATAAAGGATTGACTACAATCTGGTATTTGTATTTTGGTTTAAATTGATTATTTATTAAGTCACAGGACGTTTAAATTCAATTGATTATCGAGCATTGTAAAACTATATTTAAAAAGATAAATATCTTTAAAATAAAATAAATAGTTGATACATTTTACTACTTCCGATTCTTAATATAAGACCTTATTTAATTTTTATTTTGGTCATAAATATAAGATTTCAATCCATTTTGTCTCTTATTTATATATATATTTTTCTAATGTAGTCCTTCTAACAATGATAGTTCTAACCAATACATTTGATTAGCAAAGATATTTTAAGAAAGACAATATCTATTTATTACAAATGACTAACTTAACTTCTTTTCTTAATCCCCTCAAATTAGTCAACTAGCTCTTACAATTAGAACCAGAGGTAGTATATGATGTGAAAATTTTGGTTCAATACATTGCATTTGAATTCCCTGTAATGCATATGCAATATCCTCTTCCAAGCGTTTGATTGGTTTATTTAGGTAATCTTGATGCATTAGGATTACATTATATAAGGTAATAGAGATTACACTTCTAAAAATGAAGAATAGGGATTACAACATGTGGGAATCAATAAAAAGATACTACCTCCGGTCCTAATTATAAGACCCAGTTGACTTATTTGAGAAGATTAAGGAAGTAAGTTAAGTTAGTTATTTCTAATAAATAAGTGTTGTCATTCCTAAAATATCCTTGCTAATTAAGTGTATTGGCTAGAACTATCACTATTAGAAGGATTATCTTGGAAAAAAAATACATAAATATGAGAGAAAAAATGGATTGGGGTCTTATAATTAGGACCAAACAAAAAGTCAAATAGGGTCTTATATTAAGGATCGGAGGTAGTATTATTTGCCCCTGCCTTCTCCATTATCTTTCTTCACCCAATGCTCCTTCACCGATGACCTTTCCTCCTCCTTGCCCCCACTGACGACCTTTCCATGCGCTGCCTAACCCTTCCTCCTTCTCTTGGCAGACTGCCTATTGCGGTTGTATGAAGGCGGGAAGGGAAACTGAAGAACGAACAAGAAAGGCACGTATGATTGTGTTTTCTTTGCTAGCGTTGGATTATGGGATGAAGATGCCTATTTCTTACATGGATAAATGATTTTATTTAAGGCTATTTTTGTCCCTTCAATTTTGTTTCTTTTAATTTAAATTTAATTTTACCATTCTTAATGATGGACCAAACAACTTCTTTGTAATCATCATAACATTATATTACATTCCTAGTTATTACATCTCATTACTTTGAATACATTCCCACTTATTCCGTGGGCAATTAGAACTCTGATTATATGAGTTGTTGGTAGGTCATTTAACTTAAAAATTATATTAAATTTAAGATAAAGTATTTAATTTTTTTTCTTCTCTAAGAGGGACGGATTTGCGATCGTTTAACTTTCAGTGGATCTGTTTTTATCTGGAGATATAAATATATATAAACGCATTGCTAAAGAAAATGATAATGAAATTGAAGCATTTAGGTGAAAAGAAAAATAAAAATGTGTTCCGTTTTATAATCTAATTTGTGTTTTTTGATTCTTCATTCGGTCATCTGAGTGAATTTTAAGATTAGCATTTTAATTTAAAATAAAAAGGAATTTTTTGTTGAAAATGATACTACAGAAACTGGAAATATAAAAATATAGGATTTAACGCATCCACTAAGTTGGATAAATCTGATCAAATCTCTTATAAAGATAAAATATATTGTCAGAGCCAATATATGTGGAATCTAATTGGTCGAAAATTATCTTCAACATATTTTGAAAGATTAAATAATGAAAACAAATGCGAAGACATAGGAAATCTGGATATTTGAAATCTCTTGTTAAGATTTATTTAAATCACTTAAACAACAATTAGTACATGGCCACACAGATGCCTATAAAAGGAGACCAAGGAAGCCGGGAAGGGAACTAAGCAAAAGAGTCGGGTGTGAACAGACAGACAGGCGAGAGAGAGAGAGAGAGAGAGAGAGAGATCGTCGGCAAAGGTACGTCGGCGTTCCTATCAATTAAACGTCTGAGAGCAGATTTATTAAGTGACTACCCACACAAATATATTTATATATATAATTGCTGTTTATCTTAACTAGATCGACTAGATTTTGTTTCCATAAGATAACAATGAAAGCAGATTTCCCAACATTCATTGCAATCATCTTTTACCATTATTTGATTAATACAGGAGTTAATTTGATTTTTAATGTAATCCTAAATATAAAATTTCAATTCACTTTATTTTCTATATTTATCTATTTTTTTTAAGGTAGTTCTTACAGTAATTGCATATGTTAAATGTTTCATCACATTGTAATTTTAGCTAATATATAATTAACTAACTCATATTGTTAAGGACCGGAGACAGTAGTTTAAAATAGCTTCATTGATATCATATGCACCAATAACAATGTTTACGTTGGCCGGCCTTTTCAAGCATTAATTCGTTGTTACATATTTTGTAAAATACAAAATTCAGGTTCATTATATTGTTTGGAGCAAAAATTCCACTTAAATTAATATGACAAGATTTGATTGTACAGAGATTATTTGGATGAGACGAGACCTTATAAAGTTACTCCCCCCAGTCGTTTTCTTGATAAGAGGAGACAAATAACAGGATTTGCATATCAAAGTTAATTAAAACTGGTTAAATAATGTGCAATAAATATGTAAAAAAAAATATAATCTATTTTTCAAAAACACTTTCACCTGTGAAGAGATGGTGATTGAGGGTGAGTGTGTGGATGATTAATGCAGTGAGACAAACCAATAATAAATGAGGATAAAAATAAAAAAAATGATACTAAAAATTTGAACAAATTATTCCTATTTCTTATAAAAAATTCTTTCATATACACAATTGAAGGGAGTTTGATATATATATGTATATATGATGTACTGCTTTGTATTATGATAATGTGTAAGATAATTATGAATTGCGTGAGATGTTCGGCGTCGCGAATATGAATTATGAAAAATAAATGATGACTGGTTGGCTTGAAATGTCCTGATTCCAATCTCTTGTTACAGAATGGATTCGAGGTACGTCGCAAGGAAAAGGGAGTTTCCTTCTTATAGAGAGGTCCCTCCGCGTAACACTGCCTACCAATCTTTTAACAAGTCTCCCAAGAATGAGCTGCTTAACAAGCGTCAAGCAGGTAGCATAAGATCCTCTAAGCCGAAACGCAGTTCATCATCTCAAATTTGCAAATACTGGATCGATGGAAATTGCATCCATGGCGATCGCTGTCGGTACTTGCATTCCTGGTTTCACGGCGATGGCCTTTCTCTGCTCACTAAGCTCCATCAACACAAGAAGGCACCTACTTCCCTCCATTGCCTTTTAAAGTATTTCAATTCATTTTGCCCATACCGTTATCCTTGATATTGCACCTTTTTTTCCTCTTTCTATTGGTTTCTTCATTTGATCGGATTGTTTGCCGGGTATTCGCTTGATCAAGTGCTAAACTTTAAATCATGACCACAGATCGTCACAGGGATAACACTTCCGATTGGATCGGACAAACTTCTTTCTTGTAGCACTGATGGCACACTTCGCATGTGGGACCGTCATACGGGTCAATGTGTTAATGTACTAAATCTGGGTAATGAAGCGAGGTGCCTGATCAGTGCGGGTTCGCGGGTTTTTGCTGGTGTGTGGAATGCTGTTAAGGTCAGCTCGCTCTCTTAAACTTCTTTATGCGATTGCATTCTGTTTGTGTCTTTCATCTTTTATGTGACTGATCAGATAATCGAAAATTGATTGCGTGCATGGTTGTGGTTATTATGGTGCCATGGAATATTCAGAACGGTGCTGAGCTTGCTCTTGATGGACCCAAAGGTCGTGTACTCGCCATGGCCATTTGCAACGACACAGTTTTCGCTGGAGCAACTGTAATTGTTTGTTAAATGTTTTACCGAGTTCTTCTACTAGATTAATATTATAACTTTGATATTTGATGTGATATTCTTTGTTCCGCTCTCATTATCTCACATTGTCCTGATATTATAGGATGGTGTTTATTTATGCATGGAGAGGTAGTTCTGATGCAGATCTCCCATTTAAACCATCGGCAACATTGAACGGTCACATCAAAGCTGTTGTTTGCTTAACCGGGGGACCTGGGGACAAGCTTTACTCAGGTTCCATGGATAATAGCATCAAGGTATGATCGTGCATCATTTGTCTTATTTTGTGTTTAACATGAAAATAATCCGCATTAATTACGCACGCATGATTTGTTTTCAACTTTCTGTATGTGTTGTTGTTGAATCCGTTTGAGAGGATTTATTGATTTTTTATCTTCTTAGGTTTGGGACCTCAAAACATTACAATGTACGATGACACTGAAAGGACATAGTAACGTAGTGACATCCCTTGTTTACTGGGACCAATACTTATTTTCAAGTTCATTGGACGGCACAGTAAAAGTTTGGACTGAAAACACTTTGGAAATAGTATGCACACACCACGAAGAAAATGTGAGTCTATTTAGAAAAATGGTGTGTATTATATAGCCTTGATGATGTTGGTAGAAATCCTTTTAATATATAGTACTCTTGACGACGTCACAGGGTGTGGTTAGAATTAATGGGATGATTGATGCCAAAGGAAAACCTGTATTATTTTGCTCGTGCAGCGACAATTCAGTTGGGCTGTATGAAATGCCATCGTGAGTAGACTTCATGTTTCATTTTTATTTTGGTTTAATATTGTGAGTTATCATGTCTTGATCCTTTTTTTTCCTTTTGCTGTCAGGTTTGCTGCAAGAGGAAGATTCTTCTCAAAAAAAGATGTTCGAGTAATAGAAGAGGCCCTGGTGGACTCTTTTTTACAGGAGACGGTACTGGTTTGCTCACTATTTGGAAATGGCTATGAGAGTAGTCGCAACTTAAGACCATATCTTCATGTTAGCTTTCAAGTTTGCATCTTCCTCTTCTTTGAGAAGATCATACCAAGATGTTTGTATTTCAAATTTTACCTGTATGACATTATAGACACACACACACATGGACACGCACACATATATTTAATTCCAATTTTAGCCCCTCATTATAGAATGTCCGTGGGGCATCGACAATTCTGTTTGTGAAAATTGTATAGATTCATTCTCACTTGTATTTATCATTGGTACAATATGCATAGATTTATCTTAATTACTAGTTCTCATTCTTTCTATATCATTATTCTAGCAAATCGTCCTACCTTCGGTTCTAAATATAAGAGTTAATTGACTAATTTGAGTAGATTAAGAAAAAAAGTTAAGTTAGTTATTTGTAATAAATAGGTGTTGTCTTTCTTAAAATATCCTTGCTAATTAAGTGTTTTGGCTAGAATTGCCATTATTAAAGAGACTACCTTGGGGAAAAAATGCATAAATATGAGAGACAAATTGGATTAGGATTTTATATTTAGAACCAAAATAAAAATTAAACAAAGTCTTATATTAAGGACCGGAAGTAATTTAGTTTTTAAATTATTTGGATCCCACTCTGATTTATTTCCATGACTATAAAGATTGGATAAGAAAGCTTATGTGGCACTTTCATTTTTTCATGTGACCATTAATTCGAAACATAACAATGATATTTATAGTTTAACAGTACCACATGACAATATTTAACATAAAACCTCTAGAGGAACAGTGACTTGAAATTAATTATGTGCTAAGTTACGTTAAACAAAATTGAAATGAAGGGACACAGATAAAACGTGAGATAAAATTTGTTTTGTGGAATGGAATCGGGAAAATAGACCTTTTCCAATGAAATATCACACATATATATAAATCTATATTACCAAATAAAAAAGTATTTACCAAAGCAGTCGGAACAAAAAGAGGCAAACGAAAATAGATGGAGCTCAGGCCGGGGCCCTTTGCTTTGACAAAAAGAACCTTCTTAGATAGCTTTCGTTGTTTGGGCCTAAACTTGTGAGCAAGATTACCCAGTGAACGGTCTTAAGCCCAAACAAGGTATTTTGGGCCCCCAATAACTAAAAAGGGTTATTGTTGTGTTAACAATTATGAAAACTAATTATAATTATGTAATCAAACGTGAGTTGCAGGGTGATGAAGGGGTCTATGCATTTCATGGCTGAAGCTCCACCTTTTGCAGACCTCCTCCTCTCTCTAGAACAAGCCACGTTCATGTTAAAACAACTTCCCTCCGCGTCCGACCAAACCCATCTCCTCCAAATCTGCACTTCCCTTCACAGTGCCCATCGCAATCTCTCCAATTTCCTCTCCACAATCGATTTCCCCCCTCCGCCACGCCCCCCGGCCGAACACTCCTTCTCCTCTGCCTCCGGCGTCAACCAAGATGCCAACGGAAACGAACCCATGGAGGTTGGGGATGACGACGATGAGGCTGAGGCAAACGTGGAGATTTCCAGAGGCACAATTGAGAAGGTCGAGGAGAAGATGAGAGATTGCTTCATAAAGAACAAGCGACCGAAGCGGCCGCTTTCACCGTCCACTGCGGCGGCGGCAGAGGAGAGGCGGTTGTCCGAAGATGGCTTGGTTGGGAGAGTGAAGGATTTTGATGCGCATGCGATGAGGTTGAGGGCTTTGGATTTGGTGTATCAGTTTCATGGATGAAAAGTACGGGCGATTGAAGAAACACAGGCTATTTATTAGTCTTCAGCATGAAGGCAGAGATATTCATCATTTTGTAGCCCTCATAGGGCAGATAGGCTGAACATTGTTGTGGGTAACATCGTAGTCTCCATGTGCTCACTTTTTTGTTCTGGCTTTGACGAAAATGACTAGAAGAGCTGCGGAGCTAATTTTGTTTTGTGAGTGTTTTGCTTCAGAATAGAAGATCAATTTATCAGTCTTCATATATTCTGTACATAATGAAATCCGTTGTAAGGTTTATTAATGACGAGCTATATTTATTTCTCACACCCCTCGATCCACAGAAAAACGGACTCAGTAAAGTAAAAATATTGGTCGTGATATCAGAGACGAGTATTTTGAATGACACCTACAGGTTCGAGGCTTTTAAGTTCTTTTACTGGTCTGTATTTGGAAGGATGACTTGTGGCGATGTTGAGACCTCCCCCAGTCGTTTGAAAAAAAGTAACTATGCTTGTTTAACAAACTTTTTAATCTACTGCACTCAACCTCATTATTAAGAACAAACCTTTTTTTTTTTTTTTGGAAAAAAAGTAACTATGCTTGTTTAACACAATAGATCAGAACTGATTATCTCATACAAGAAAATTATCTGTTGGCCAAAGGCGAAGAAAAAGGGCAAATCATCTGGATGGCTTAACAAGAAAGAAAAAGCTGTCATGAAGGGTTCTTTTTATAAGCAAGATGGACGGAACTAATATTTTCAAGATTTGCTAAAATAGGAAGCTCCAGTCATGTCATCAGGATAGGATATATAGATTGCTCCCTAAATGTAACTGGGTTCATTTGAGCTACATATATTGCCTCTGTTAGCAGTAGATTACAACATTACAAAGTGCACAACGGAGTGCACTTTTTTTGACCTGACTTGACATTAATTTGGATCTTCCACAGATGACCCTGTGCATTTATGTATTTGGTGAGAGGGTGACAAAACACATTGCGATCAGACATATGGTTTGAAACAGCATTTCTGCTTCAGTTGTGAGCATGCTATTATTATACTAAAAAACATGAGGAAAAAATGTTCCTGATCTAGCTCTCTAATTCATCCCTGAACTGGGAAAGTCATATGCGCTACTTCATCTTTTAGTGCACTGCTTGGTTTCAACTTCCAAATCTGTGACAACGAAAAAACCCTTGGTAAGCCACTATGTTATGCGCAGTCTAGTGGTAAAAACGACGAGTCTGTAGTTTGCATAAAGGTCATGTGTACAAACCTGCATTTCACTGTGCATGAAAAGGGGCCTTACTCATATCTGAAACTCTTGGACCTTCTGCAAGGTTCTTGTGTAAGAAATTCAAAAGGAAATCTACATTGTTATCCTTTCACTATCAAGTTATGCAACTTAACAAAATCATCCAATGTGAGTTCTTCAGGTCTTGACTGTGAACACCAGAGGTACAAGCAAGAAAAGGATAATCACTAAAAACTACAACATCATAGCCAATGAGCGTTTGTTGAGAGCAATAGATTTGATCACTCACAGTAGTCGGAAGATCTATCCTTTTCAAAGCTTCTTCGATCTCTACAGATGTGCATATGTGCTGAAGCGACTTCCGCAGCATTTTGCGTTTCCCGTTGAATGCTGAGTTAACCTACAAACATGCAGCAATGAGTAACATCATCAAGAAAATTATATCACATCTTGATACGCAGTAGCGAGAAGTAGATTGAGAAGAAAATTTATAAAAGCTCAATGGATGGTTATTTGAAAAGAGCTACCATTGAGAAGAAGCTTTTGGTGGAAGAAACTTGGGGATATTCTCTCGCTTGCTTCAGCTTGAATGTGACAATGGCTGCGTCAACCTAGTCAAACATGAAAAATGAATAACTGATTAATGATCCAACCCAGAAATTATGCTGCCACTCTACAATAGCTTCGAATGAACCACTATAGAAACCCTATAAACAAGTAGTTACAATGACTACGAACTCTTGCGATCATAATACACTTCAGGTTCTCTGTTAACAAGTTATATTTTAGGTTTGATTTTCTATCTAGGCATAAAAATGTTTTTACTTTAATCACTAGTAATGTCTCTTCACTTTCTTGTGTTTGTTTCTCATGATAGCGATCCTTATGTCATTCATATTAAAGAGTATCATTTAGACAAGCAAGGGCTCTATTAATATTTGCTGTACTTTCTGAACCAATAAAGAGGGCTGGCGAACTTAACCTCAAGATCTAACTGGCGGACTTAACCTCAAGATCTAAATAAAAAGTCTATTTGCCCGCATGGATTAAGAAGATGCCAGCACAAACACCATATAGTAGTCATATTTGTGGACTATAATCACTTACATTAGGCTGAGGGAAAAAATTTGTCCTGGGGACTCTCAATTTGTATTCTGGCTCTGCAAAGAAAATTGATAAACAACAGCTTTAGCATTCAATCAAGCAAATTCTGGTACTAGGTATCAAATTCTCACAGTTCAGCTTGACATATAAGCAATCCGTGGTGAACTGGGACTGCATGCAATCTTTCTAAAACTAGATTAGCCATTGAACCCGAGAAGCTATTGGGCCACATGTCAATTGATTCAACTCAATCTGACAGTTGATTCAGGTGGGACATAAAATACATATTACACATTTATACTATAAAAATCAAGTCTAAACTTCAAATATATGACTCTGAAAATAATTCATGAAAATTCGTAACGCAAGCCAGATGTAAACATAACGGTCAGCCTCTACATCGCATTTACTTCCCAGCTTTGCAAGCATAGGACACTATTGCATGCCACAAGGCACAAGGTTTGTTTATCTCATGTCTCATTCATGCGCACCTCATGTTCAGCATTTCCCCCCTATTTTTCTCTTGACCATTATCATAATTTATTTAATTACTACATAAGTACCTGAGTAGAAGTTAACAAAAATATTGATGGGGCGATACTCAGAGGTCCTCAGAGATGATTCAACCAAGCGCAAAGCTGTCTCCTCCTGCATGGATATTTAGTTTCCATAATCGTTGTTATATTTACAAGTCCCTTTTTTGTTTTAACATTGTGAAGGGCTTCCATAATCTAATGCCATTAGGTTAAATCTTCAAAATAATAATAATGAAGAATAAAAAATATTAGAGAGTGCTCGTATATAAATTTCTACATTTTTTTTAGTGAAAAAAAAAGAAAGAAAAAAAAGAGAGAAGCTCTGTTCATCACTCTAGTTTCTGTCTGATCAAACTGCCTTTTAAAAATGAGTTTGCACACGACTTTAGGTTTCATTAGTATTTTTCTCCTATTCTAATGAGTTGGAGATTCTTCATCCCGAAAATAGAATACGAGATATCCTTGAACTTTGGGATCAAGTCGGGTGGAAATGGCACGGTGAATTGGGATGAGAATATCAGAAATTCTAGGCCAACATGGGGCGATAAGAATGAAGAATGATAAATGGAAATAAATGGCAAACATATCTTGGAAGGTTAAATTTATCAACATTTCATGGACCAATTATCCTAGAAAATGCAATCCCGTAGTGTATAGGCCAAGGAGTTATTCTTATATCTTGCATATTCTCTCATACAAAAAGCTCTTAGGGCTGGAAGTGCACACAAAGCACAAGCTTTGTTACTCTGTACTGAAATTTAATTGAGTTGTGACACATGAAACAAGAAGGAATGTAACACTAATGGTTATGAAAGTTTCGATACCATGTCAAAGAGTAACGATTGAAAGTGCTGTTAGATATAGGTCCACCAATAATTTGAATCTCTGATACAACATATCTAATTCACAACAAAACATATAATGAGAAAGCTATCAATGCTAACCTGGAGTAATAGAACCACTTCCGAGATAATATCACCCATTGGAAGAAGAAGCTTGATCACATCTGTGCTTACATTAAAGGGAAGGTTGGAAACCACCTAAAAGAATACCCATAACAGATTACTGAAGAAGTAAGAAAGGAAATAATACATTTTCTGGAAGTCTCAGATAACTTACGGCTAGAGAAGAACGGTGAAGTTTGCAATAAGTGAATTTCTAGCTATTCTAGGGATATCCAATTCAACACATAACTTCCAGTTATGATGTTAGTCATACAGAGAATCACTAATGACAATATATAAAAGAGGGAACGACTAATATTAGTGTTGCACAGTAACTCGCAAAGACATATAAGAGCAAAAATGAAAGCATTATGCTTGATCTTCATGCTTAATTGAAGCGTAATCCATTGAACTAGAGATAACAAACCGGGGCAAATTTCTATAATAATATTCTTACAAGTACAACAACAAAGGATATTAAACTCTTAAAATCAAAAGATTGCTTTTAGAATCTGCAATCTAATAAGCTTATTTCTTCTATCACATAGGACTAGGGTGTACCACGTACTAGAATTTTGGTTACGCTGACTATGTCATCTGACTCAATGTATTGCCAATATAAGCATTGAAAATCAAGATAACGGCATCAGATCAGAGATGCTTTGTCCATTATTTTCTAAAACTAGCAATTCTCTTTATGCATAAGAAGTGCAATCCTTACTTTTGCATGTCTGGTTTCTGGATCCATTTGCCTTGCGCTGCCAAGCAACGACAATAAATGAGAGCGGACATGGCATTTAACAATATCCTCAGTCAATACCTGCAGGTATTACAATATCAACATTATTCATAATCAGTACATCCAACAAGGTCCCTAATGGTTAAAATTTTAACATAGAAACTATAGGCAAGGAAAGCCACTGGACTGAAAATAAAAAATTTTATTTGTGTATTATGAAAAAATAGCTCGTCGACATGAAATATAAAGTTGAAATGTCTCCAGGAGTCGTACCTTCAAATTTTGTGTGCCAAAAAATCTTTCACTCACGAGATCAGCCATGTGTTCATCCTAAATCCGAACAGAATTATAAAATCACAAATCTTGAGCGCAAGTAAAATATAGAAATATGCAACCTCCCTCGCTGATGAGTTGGAAAATATGTTATCAGCAAATTTCAATTGCCATTGGTTATAAACCGTTTGGGAACTAAGAAAAACACCAAAAGTAAATGTTTTTACACAGCATGCAGCATTGGCATGACTTATTATGCCAAGACGAATAACATATAAACGCACAGATTTATATAGAACATGAAGATATCAGCAGGTTGGAGAAGAAATGCAAACCTACTTAGACGTCAACAATTAGGCAAACCATGAAGAAATCAGCAGGTTGGAGAAAAGAAAGTATCTTTGTCTAGAAGAAAAACTCCTTAATGAAAAGCAGCAGCAAACCTTTTCAATTGCAAGAACAAATGCACCAGCGTTTAAAAGAATATTAGTCAAAGAACCCGTTCCCGGCCCAATTTCCAACACCACATCGCCTTCTTCAACACCAGCCGCTCGAGCCAGCTGCTCATTGATATCAGAGTTCAACATATAATGCTGCACAAAAATAAAAGAATACAATTGAGAAGCCACTTCCAACTAATACCAAGCAGCCATCTGCACACCTAGCCTGTGCTCGACAAAATGACGGAATCAAAGTCCCCAAACACTAAATTAAAACTACGGGGCATTTGAAAACCAAAAGGGAGAAAAAACATATAGTTCCCAGAATTTTCTCCAGAAACAAACAGATTTAGAAATAAGAGAACCTGGCCGAGGGATTTTCTGGGGAATCGGCCTTTAGAGTTGAGAGCTCTTATGGTAGCGTGGTAGTCGTCTGAGCTCGGTCTAGTAGTTTTCCCACTTCTTCCATCGGCAGAAGCTACACATAGCGTTCTGATCCGTTCACTAGTACTACTGACACATGCTGGAGGCGGAGATTTCTGGCAGCGCGAAAGGAAAGTGGCATGTGATGTTGGTGGGAGAGATTGAACAGTGCACATCGGCGAAGGAGACATGCTTTTGATTATCCGTTAGTGGTTGGTTGGGTGGTTGCTTGCTTTGAAATTAATTAATATATTTTCCTACGTAGTATAATAATACTCGTCCGGTCTTTAATATATGAACTAATTATTAAATTAGTTTTGGTTCTAACTATAAAATCTATTTCTCATATTTATTAATTTGTTCTAAATTACTCTTTTGGATATTTTCTCAATCATAATCAAGTAGAAGAGAGAGAGTATTAAGAAAAATGATTATGGTGTTTCAAAAAAAATGTCACATTTCTTATAATTAACTAACTTACCTAACTTTTTTAATCTAACCAAATTAGTTAAATGGATCCTATATTAAAGATTGGAAGAGTATAACTCAAATCATGTTAATGTAAAATTGATTGCCTCTCTCTTTTTCTCTTGAATTTGAATCCCAAGCTTGTGTCCACGGCTCTGCGTCCAACGGAAGGCATTTCTCGAGCTCGGAACCAAGGATAAAGGACATAAAACTGAAGTTATTTCTGTATACGGTAGAAAACATGTAAAAATAAACATAATACTACCTTCTACCTACTAGACTTCGTTTGTAGACTAGTGTGTGTGTATATTGTTTTTTTTTTGGGGGGTAAAGAACCAGTGGGTCCAGTCCAATAGAACCTTATCAGAAGAGTATTTAAATAGAAACTAAACTATAATTTTAAAAATAATTTTATAATATACGAAATATATATACAAAAATATTTATCTTGATTTACAAAATAGTATTTTTTATGCTATCCAATCGCCTCTTGAATTCCATAAGCAAAGAAAGGAGCAGGAGCAAGTCAAAACTTTCTCAGAACTAATTCGGTGTTTAACCCTTTTAAAAATCATATTTTTATTCACCACCATTAGCTAATCTGATTTTCCATTCAGATTGTGGCCAAAAGTCTCCCAACGTGGCCTTCTTTTTTAAATATCATCCATATTTTTAATGACATTGTTTAATTTTTAATTTTATTTGAGGAGTACTTTTTATTTTAAAATTATTTTTACTTTTTGTTTTGTTCTTAATTAAAAAGAGATGAAGAATGATTTGTTTGGATAAAACAAAGGGCTAAGGTGTGCCCAACACCCTGAACTATTTACCCAAGTACGTCCAGTGGTCTAAAGTAATTTTGGGTGCATCCAGTGTCTTAAACTAATTAAAATGGTGCGGCTATATCCCAAGCTAACAGAAATGTTATCGGGTGCCCATGTGTCTACCATGTAGAATATCTGGAGTCAACTTTAAACTGAGTCAGGAAAGTAACAGTTAAACATAACATTTCTGTTGCCTGGGATATAGACGCACCATTTTAATTAGTTTAGGACACTGGATGCACCCAAAATTACTTGAGGCCACTGGACACACCTGGGTAAATAGTTCGGAGTGCTAGGCGCACCTTAACCCTAAAACAAACTTAATTTACATGGAAACCGCCGCTTGACAGTAAAGTGTGATATAAAGATGCAAAATTGGCATGGATAACACTATCATATTGTATTCCCGGAAAACATGGCATGCTATCAAAACCAATAAAGACTTCAGATTCCAATCATTTGGAAATCAAGATCACAAAAAACACCATTTACGTATTTATCTCTTGTTTATCACTACCAAAATTATCCAACCAGGAGAGCTTCTCCAGGAGTTGGCAACCTTGACTTGTGCAAGCTGATACTGACACCTTTCTTGGAGGATCAACACAAACAGCAAATTTTTGTTCCAGCAATCTACAAATCCGCAAAAAAATTGTTGGAGCCACCTATAGCATGGCCATTACTTGCATTCTTTCTCTTGGTCCCTGCAAAGGTAACGATATAAAATGCAGTACAAGAAATAACCTCCAAATAATCATGTATCAATCTCCCAGTCCCAACAGTTAAATTAGCCACGTTGCTGAACAGAGCCATTCATTGAAAGGCATCAGACGTGACAAGTATGTATTTGTAGGCCATTTATAACATCTAGAACTACAACAATGCATATCATACCTTTATCACTCTTAGAAGGATTAGCATCTACATCCATCTCATCCCCGTCGCTATCAATCACCTCCGTTTCATTCCCTTGTGTGCTTTTTGAACCTTGTAGTATATCATCCAGGTCCCATAGCTGCCAAAGAAAAAATGTCCCAGGAAGTTCAGAAGATAATATATAAATATCATTCCAGTCGTTTTTATATTTTTAGCGAACCAATTCATCTAATATCATTAATAATAACTCAGGCGACTGACAGCAATCAACATGAATCAACTTATCCAATTAGTTTATTTTAGTTTTTCCATCCATTTTCTTTTTCACTGATATTTCCACGTCTTTGATATAGTGAGTAACTCCATTCTACTTTGGCCAAGGCGATATATGAAAAAGTGAAGTAAAAAGTGTACCTTTAAAATATGATCGTGTGCAATACTGCCAAGGTACTTTCTATCATGAGAAAAAGCTACAAAACCAGAGAAAACCACGGGTCAGCATAGTGAGATCAAATTAATCATGGCCCATCATCCAGATCAAGATCAGGAGCCAAAGTTAAAACAGAAGCAGAATATTGCTTGTGAATAAACATTATTGTAGACAATGAGAGAGAACAAACAACGAAAAGTAATCTAACAGGAATAAAATTACAGAAAAATTGCTTCGCTACAGCGATCAAGTTGAGATGCTAATTGAAGCAATGGAGGCTCCAAACAATATGGCAGTCCCACCAATAGATACAGCAAGATTCAAATTTTGCTACAAGTGAGTATATTACCAAGACGTTCAATAGGACATTCTGAGTGCTCCGCAATTGGCTGGATGACTCTGTTGGGCAATATTCCGACCAGACTGAGAAAAAATAATAATTATTACAAGTATAAATGTAACTGGAAAAAGCATATCAATGAACATAGGATAAAATCATGAACGAATCAAAGGCAACAAGGCCCTCATACAAAACAGGCTCACTTGATTATCCCATTCTCTGATCCAGTGATGATACGGTCCTCATCAAGCTGAAATTGAGATATACAATTTTTATTGATTGATTATGGAATAAGGTAAAAGCCTAGTAATGCTGAAATAGTCATGTTACCCACTCACCTTCAACAAAGCATCAATAGAGTTTGATGAGAGATCAATAAACCGGTCACTGAACATCAAAGCCATCAAGCAAGAATATGAGTTAGAGCCAACTGGAGAGCGAACATTGAATTTTGCCTTTTTAACAATTAAGAATAAATTACTTCATCAATTGCACCCAGTGCCACATCAAGTACCTGCAATCCTGGAAATATCCCCATGAATACAGTAACAGGGTTCCAGTTTGTGATCCACAGACAATTTTCCTGCCATTCTGGCATTTAAAAAAGAATTCCAAATCAGTTAAACGGCGATTGTAAGGAATATGAGATTGATCAGTCACTCTTAACAGAGAATCACGCATGGAGAACTCAGAAAAGAGGAAGATTGACTGAGAGAATACAGTACCTTCATTATAACAACAGACAGAAGCTCATCTTCTGAGAACTCAGATCGAGCTTGGACCTATCAGTAGAAGAAAATAAAAGGGCATGTATCACTAAAAATTTGGGAAAACAAAAAAAAAACAGAGAGAGAGGAAGCAATAGATGCATAACTTACTTTATTTCTTCGAAGATTGCAAACAGATAGAGTCCCATCGCCACTTCATATGGAAAATAAATTTACCAAAAACTCAGCATGCATCAGTAAGTCACAGGTGATAGGGTAGGGGAAAAGTAAAATATTTATGCAGCGCATGGAAGTGCATCCACTTAAGCGAAAAATAAAATTTATAGTAAAATTAGATTGACAAGGGCAATAAATGATACCTTGTTCCCAACAGCTTCATTGCATCAGATGCAAAAGTCATGTCTGAAATGTAATCTTCATGGGCATCAAATGAATTGCAACAAGAACGTTGCCTAGTATCCCATACCTGCAATGAGAAAAAGCTCATTCTGTTGACATGAAATGTTCATAACAAGTAGATGATGATAGGAAACTTCACTCTAAGTCCTTGCTATGCAAATGGTATGTTTTAAATTAGTTGACATAAAAACGCACTACAGGGGACAAACCATGACTCAAAGGATTATAAATTCATAATTGTTAAAAAAGATGCGAAGGGAAGATTAAATTAGTCTTTTAACACTCCTCCCCTGGCATGTAAAAATAGAATGAGACACTAGATACAAGATGTTCTCCACAGCAGCAAAACATATAAATGAAATTAAAGAAGTAACCTTGATACACCCTTCGTCATCTCCTGTTGCAACAGTTGACTCAGTCAAATTTATCAATCTATTGACTGCAGCCCTGCGTTATAGAACAACACCACATAAAAATTCGGAATTAATAATCATGCTAAGCATTAAGAAAGCATAATCATTTCATGAAAAAGAATCCACCCACCCATGGGCATTATCAAGACGGGCAATGGCAGATCCAGTTTCAACATCTGTTGCCAAGATTGAGCAATCTGGAGAACCCGTCAACAGTGCTAAAATAGAAGCAATAGGCAATTCAAAGGCCAATTATATTCATGAAAATATCACTATCAAAAAGCCCCATTAATAATAACGATAATTACAATAATAATAATAGAAAAGAAAGAATGCAAGGAAAACTACAATGCATTACCACGTCCATCATTAATGAAGCGAACAGCTCTGCAAGACTCAGTGTGCGCATGAACTTCCAACAATCTGGCAAGACCCCAATCTACTATATAAATATAAACAGTAGCAAACACATGCAAACGGGGATAAAATTTGGAAGCAGCATAAAATCATAAAGCAACTGGGTAGATATCCATCAACGATAAAAGCAAGAATATATGAGCTTCAACAACCTAGCAAGACCCCATTATACTGTAGCTATAAAAAAGAAAATTGATCCAAATATGGATGAAATTTGGAAACAACATAAATCACTATGCATGCAGGTCAAATATTCAACAACTGCAAAAGCAGTAAGATATATAATATAATACCTTACAGGTGTGCTATCAGGGTTATAACGGTATCTGCCAGGGAAAGAGTTCAGAAACATATTAGCAAAGGATAATTAAACACAAACAAGAAGTTAACGAAAGAAGCAGCTAAGAGTGAAAAACTGAAAATTAGTCAACTCACAAATGCAGGTCACCATTAATCAATCCTGCAGCAACAAGCTGATCCGATGAATGAAAGTCAATGTCAAATGCAAGTTTCCCCAAATCTATCTCCATTTAATTTACTTCTAGCTGCCTCTGTTTTCAAAGGCTCCTAAATCCTGAAGAGAGCTTAAATCCAAGCTGCAGTTTCTGGATTTACCAGCAATGCATCAGGTCAGCAACTTAAGGGTGACCAACACCAAACAATACATATTAAACAGAAATAAATCAAACCGAACCCAACTGGAGAAAAAAAGCAAGCATGCAAGCAAACACACAAAAGCAACTATAAGTGAGGTCTGATTTGTTTTCATAATGCTAAAACTAATCGAATTAATTAAATTTTAGTTTGCTTCAATTTTGGTCGATCAGAACCGAACCAAACCACTCAAAACTATACCTATATTTAGAGAATACCAACAACAATATTTAATATTAAAAAAAATCTGTTGAATCAATCAAGATACTGGTTCACAGTTCAGTGGTCAAACTGCAACCCAACTATGGTTAAAACGGATGCAATTAAATTAATATATTTTAAATCATAAGCAAAGAAAAGTTTAAAGAATCACTGAATTAGTACTTCACAAAAACTAAATAAGATACAATACAATCACTAAGTTGCCTTAATTTATGCAAACACGTACACAGAAGCAAAAAAGCACTAAGTTACAGCAATGCTAAACATTACTGATTCCAACTTGTCTAGTAATTAACCAAATAAATCTAGTTTAAAGAAATCATGATATGGGATTTAATTGCCCTATCTTAACTAAAAAACTAAGATATCTATATTTAAAAAAAAAGCTGTATAATTGCAATTTGCTCAGTTGATGATATCTTTCTTCTTTACAGACCCTTCTCCTCTAGCATTTGGCATCGTGGTCCCCAGAAGTGTGGGTGCATTGGCCATTGCATCGTAAAGCATAAGACTTTATGGCTTATTCAGAAACTGGTTTCGCGCGCGCGCGCGCACCCACACATATTGATTGTTGAGTTATCTACTGTCTCTTTGATTCACGAGTAGTTCATATTCATACAACAATGATAGCGAAATCGGGGGGGGGGGGGGGAAGAAACGATATTTCTTTCCTCAAGCATATAAAAGAGAAATGATATACTCCGCACCAATGGTCAACGGTTGTTCCAAGGCCGCTTATTCGAGGAAGATGATGAGATAGGAAAGAGGGAGAGAGAATCCAACCTGTCGGAGAGAATGGGTTTCTCTCTGGAAGAAGGCGCCGGATACTGGGCAGAGACTGGACTGAGTTGGCAGAGCCGTCGTTGGAAAACCGAAGCTCGACGAGTGGAGAGCTGGCGGCCGAAGATGGGGCGAGGCACCGCAGCGCGTCATTCAAGAAGGGTTATATTCTATTTTTCTTTTTTCTTTAAAAAAAAAAGGACGAAAGGAGGGTAATAAATTTAATAATCCAGAAAAATATCCAAATTTTTCGTTCAAGGTGATAAGAGTTCACAGGGAGAATAATGAATTTAATAATCCAAATTCTGGTCTATTAAAAATAAGTCATAAGTACTGGGATTATCTGCAAATATATTTTCCCCAATAAATCAAACAAATTATAAGATTAACATATTGCTAATTGTTCGATTAAATGTCGATGACTTAAGGCTATTTAAAATCTTATTCATTTACTCCCTCCTCTCTTTTCAATATATTTTCGGTTCATAACATAAATCTAGTTTAACTATATTTTATTGACAAAAAAATATTAATTGAAGTGTAGTCATAACATCAAACGTGTGCAGAATTTGTACGACTTTTTAAATATGCTCTCAACGAGAGTCGTATTACATTAATTCTAATGAATAGATTATTTTTAAAAAGTTTAATTATAGAGAAGGATAAAATAATAGATAATCAAATATTAAATTAATGTGCGAAACATTAAACTATATTTATATTTTGAACAAGTACGGTTGGAAAAAAGGACTTATATTATGGATAGAAATAATGAGTCATGTTTAACTATTTTACCCAAACTAATGGGAGATAACTAAATCATTGATATAGTCTAAAATAAATAAATTTCCCAATTTATTCTCCATCCTTGGCGCCGCGCGTGTCATATGGTAGTGCGTTTTCTTGGCACGTGCTACTGCAATTACAATCCAAAGGTTTGAGGCCTCATTGCCCTTTCTCCTTTGGCCATCCCCCATGCACAAGCCCGTGGGATGGACCACAAGTCCCTTGGATGAGTTTGGATTCACGGAGGAACAGATCAAACTGAGATTGGCTTAATAATTGTAAAGAGACTAGGCACCACAATTGCAGATACTAAGCCACCCTTCAATATAGAGGTCGGTTTATGACTCATTATTGTGGATTGATCATGATACGTGGTGGCCATGCACGCAAACCATCTCTAAGCTGAGAGTAGGAAGGGAGTATGCAAAGAAAATAGAGCATGCATGGGAAATATATAGTCAGATCGGATTCTAATGTTCCTGAGCTCATCATATAACAACAACGGTTTTTGTTGCTTATTCTATGTTCATGCAACATATAGCATTCACTTCAACCACAAAAGCAGTACAAGGAATCCATATGCATCCAGCCCATAAAATTCTGCTCCATCTTTCTTACATGTATATTTCTTACTCCTCATATAATGCTGCCCAACGGCTGTCTCTAGCCTTGCCGCTGCCTCTTTTGAACCTCCTTGACTACAAACACCGCAAGAAAAATCAAATGGTGACATTAAATATGATGAAGAAGGAACAAACAAATCAAAGAATCACAAAAGAATCCCTTGAGAAATATCACTAACTTGCGTGATTCTTTTTTACCTGGCCTCAATTATAAAGTTGATAACCAGAGCTTGAAGTCCTCATCGTCACTGAACTGGTCAGCTCCTTTTGGAAAATCTATAAGGCCATGGATGTCCTCTAACATCCCATATTCTTCGACCATAAATGGCGGGAGAGGAAATGGGAGCAGTGGTTTCAGGAGAAGTTGGTCCATGTAACTAGCTAGCATTGTTGAGTAAAGCATTTCATTTCCTTCATCATTATAACCAAAATGGGAGAGAAATGAGTCACTTTCGAAAATTCCTTCACCACTTTCAACACGGCTTGAACCTGCATATTCCTTCTCGCTTGGGGCAGTATTAGTGAGCATGAGAATGTCTTGTGCATTATTGCAACCAGGGGTCAATTGATTTTGCCCATAATTTGACTCTTGGCAGGTCCAAATTTCCTGGGGAAGAAAATTTGAAGCATCAGGACAATGCATGTATGCAAAACTAATGGGATCATTTGCACAGTTGCTGAAGGAGTCAGTTTGATGGGTCGCATATTGCTGCTCCGATACTTGCAGGTAATTTGTCTGAGACAGGTGTCCTGATCGTTGATGTAAATAAAATGAATCCTTGGTTTCTTTCTCTTCTTGTTTCAAAGAGAGATGAAACTTCTAAGAAACAATATTCATTAAGTCATGATTGATAATTCAGAAAGTAATGTACTAATAAAAATAGTTCATACTATTCAGCGAAATAGTTGCTCAAGTATATACAACATCAGAGATAACAGACCTGAAAATAACTTGAAACTGCGTCTTTTATAAGACCTGGCACGTTCAGATGTTCCAGTATTTTCTTTGGACAAGCTACTCATAAGGAAGAAAGCAGTCAATATAATTACCATGCAGCAAGTAGCAAGGACAGCATATAACTAACAGCAAAAGTTCGGACTCACCAGAGACTCCTAATAATCCGATGGATTCCATGAACTTGTGATGCAGATTGAAAGCCCATGTCAACTTTTGCCTTTTCAGTTCAATGGTTTCTCCCTCTTCAGCTTTGTCAAGCGGTTCTGGCTCTTTCCTTTTTGCACGCTGGAGGCTCCGATTCCCTGTTTCCAAGCATGGTTGGAGTCTTATGCCCTTGTCTGGTATATTTTTATTGCCCTTTGATTTATCCACCTCCATTGCTTTATCAGTTTTGTCCCTCCTTGCAGTAAACTGCCATAGGCCCCTTAAATCAGCAACCATAACCGGCTTTATGAAATGATGTTCAGCCCCTTCAGCGGATGCTCCCACAACTGGAATGTGCTTAGCATCAGCTGACATAACTGCATATGAAATGAACAGACAACGTCAATATTAGTTTGATGAGAGCCATCTGAGGCTTCATATAAGCACTGAGAAGAAGCCAAATTTAATTTAAGAACTTACTGAAAAATGGCAAACTGCAGGCTTCTCTCATTTTCTTGATGATCTCATGTCTTCCCATGTCAGGCAAATGAACCTCCATGAGCACAAAGTGAAGCTTGTTCTTCATTTGCTCAACAATGGATAACGCACTGGATCCTTGTGCAGCAATTACACCTAGAAGGAAATAACAAAAGATAGTTCAGTGCAATGTAGACTATAATTCGATAGAAAGAGATGGGTTTTATGAATAGGTAGAATTTTTCTCCACACTAACGAGGCTAGGGGACGGCCTTTAAAGATATGATCAATATTTTCCATCCCACCATTACAGAGAAAGCAGCGTTGATGCCAAGTCATCTTTCTGCGGTAACGTTCAGAATTGGTAAGGAGTTTTTCCTTAAGCATTAGCCAAAGCATAGTCCTCACACGTGGGCAGCTGGGAGCTTCCAAATTTTGGTCCATTTCGCATCAGCAATCTGCCAGTTAAGGGATTGGGTTGGGCTTTTTTTGGGGCCCCATTTGATGTATGAATTATGTTTAATAGGTAGCTTGATTTAGGTTGGTTACGAGTGGGTTTGGTCTTCATAGGATGACAATTTTGGGCTTGCGTTTCATTGTTTGTTTGGAAATAATACTTGAAGTTTCATTTAGAATCATTTTTGATAAAGTTATGCTATTAATATTTACCCGTCGGATTTACATGAGAGAGTGAAATATAGCTTAAGAGGTCAATAAAGAGAGATGTGCAAACCCACCCCTGCGTAGGAATCATATTGGATGGTTTGAAGCTAGGAAGAACCAATACTTTAAAATGTCAAGCGGATATCCCTCACTTGTAACGTGCATGACATTCATCATATTGCTCTTAAACACCATTATTGCATGTCCAGATTGAATTTATGATGCAAGGACCTGAGTTAATACATTCCCAGTGATTTATGCTAGAGAATATAAGATAAATGATAACATTTGAGAACTAAGTAAATTGTGTCTACAAAAGTATATAGTAGACACTTTCAACTTATTCTACTGATATTTTCATCTTGTAATAGTACATACTGCCATGAAGCCTCTAGCAAGGATCCGATCCAAAAAATACTCCCTTTAGTCAATAATTTGTTTTTTAATTGGACGGCAGTGCAAAAATTTCAACAACTAGTGATGATTCACAACTTCAGTTAATCATGCCGCCCTTAATATAAATGAAAAAGATTTTCTTCCATAGTATGTTGATGTTGTTTACCTTCATATCCAAGGGAATGGAGAATTTTGGATGTAACTGCTAGACAAGCTGAGTCTCCCTCCACAACCAACACTTTGATATTAGGAATTGATAAGATGTTTTGAGTTGATTCGTCTACTCGATTAGTATCAAACCCCATGATTATAATACCGAATTGATCTACTGCAGAGATCGCAATATCAAGGAGAGGAAAAAAGAGTAAAGTGTCTCATTTAATATCATTCATCTGAACCACAAGCCTTCTTTTGTATGCTAGATTCATTGTACAAAGTTAATTGAAAAAATTAACATATAAGTCCCTATAATTTTATCAAGTTATTACAATTTTCGCAATTATAAATATAGGTCTCTATACTCATAATTTGTTAGTTTCTAAGAAAAATGGTGTTAGTAGTTGATGAGGTGACTCTCACATAGCGTACACCTACATTAATTCTGCCACATCTTTTAAATAAAATTAAAATCAAGCATATCACAAATTATATATAGATGTTAGAGGACAGTTATGAGTATAATAATTTTTATTATGTCAATAATAAATAAATTTTATTCCATAATTTTATTTTTTAAAAACTTCTTTTTAATTTTGTATGTTTTTTGTTGACTATGACAGCTTATGTATCACTTAGCATCTACATAAGTTATAATTAACATATTATAAATAGTGAGATTAATTCTTATCATTGAGTCAACGTTAAGGACTCAATGATAAGAATTACAAAGATCTAGTTAAAAAAATCAGACAAACAATGTATTTACGATGCAAAGAGGTCCTCCATTACTGCAAATAGTTATCTTTTCCATTTCTAGCGATTCATGGAATAAGATACTACCTCCGGTTCTAATTATAAAAGCTAGTTAACTAATTTGAAGAGACTAAAAAAAGAAGTTAAGTTAGTTATTTGTAATAAATAGGTGTTATCATCCCTCTTGCTTGAATAGATGAGAAGAGAAGTTGGGAGGAAAGAAAATAGAAGAAGAGAAAATAGAAAAAAAAGGTGTTATCATCCCTCTTGCTTGGATAGATGAGAGAAAATAGGAAGGAAAAAAAAAAGAGAGCAAATATCCTTATCAAAATATATCATATTTAAAATTGAATCAAATTAAATATTGCAATAGAAAAATTATATTAATATTAACATCATCAAACAATTTAAAATCAAGTTATTTAGTTTATATATTTTTTCAGATTATTATATTTTAAAACCAAATTATTTAATAAAAATATTTTTTAAGATAAAAATAAAAAATGAATAATTTTTTAAATATAACAAAAAAATAAATATGAAGAGAAAGATTGAGGATGGCAGGCACAAAAATCTGGTTTTTCTTCCCAAATTTCTCCATATATGGAGAGAAAATTAGGAGAGAAAATAGGGCATGAAGCCTACCTTATTTTCTCCTCCATTTTTCTTTCCTATTCAAGTAAGGAAAAACTCATTTCTCCTTATATTTTTTTCCTAGTTTTTTCTTCTATCTAATTTTCTCTCAATCCAAGCAAGAGGTTAATGTAAATGAAAAGGATTTTTGTCCATAACATGTCGATGTTGTTTAGCTTCATAAGAAAGGGTACGGAGAATTTTGAATATAATTGTTAGACAAGTTGAATTTCCATTCATAACCAACACTTTGATGTTGGGAATTGGCAAGATGTTTTGAGCTGATTCATCGTCCTATGGAGCACCAAACTCCATGACAACAATACCAAGTTGATCTATTGCAGAAATCACAAAACTAAAGGGAGAAAAAGAAAACTAAAGTAATACATTTAATATCATTTATCTAAACGACTAACCTTCCATTCGATGCTAGATTTATTGTATAAATTAATTAGAAAATTTAATATGCATTTTAATTCAGTCTTACATATGTATATTCTTTTTATTGAGCTCTTATAGTTTATTCAATTATTAGTCCTTGTAAATTATAAGACCTAATTGTTATGATGACTATTAATTTTCCCAATTTAATTGGCAAAACCTCATTCCTGAAAAATGTTAAGAAATAATAACAATGTTTTCATTTTTTGTCCATTTCAACATTGACCGCATTTTCACCCCGAGTTGAGGTCTAATTACAAAATAATTGAGGTCTAATCACAAAATAGGCAAATGCACTTTGAAATGCAACAAAGTCCCCAAAACTCCAGATAAAAAAACATTTAATTTTTAGTTAATTTTTATAATTAGAAATACGTTAATATTTGGACCCATCTTTTATTTCCAAATTCAACAACAACAAAACCTCCTCAGGGTCAGGTGCAGATCATAGGCCTAATTTAGTCCCTCAATTTCCCCCTAACATAACTGGAATGATATCCGAACAGTATTAGCATGACTGGTGCGAGTTAACTATGAGCTCATACTTCGCCTACTTCAAATGAGCATTTGTATTGTAATTCTAACCGCACACCATAAGAACTCAACAACTAAGAAAGACCACAAATTACAGAAAGGAAAATGAGATTGATACATCATTGAAAAGAAACAGAAGCCAATAACAAAAAGTTACCTCACCTCTGAAAACCCACCCGAGACATGCCAAAAGAAGCCTAATGTTACACTACAAATTTACATGCCTACCATTAAATAAAAATTTTTAAAAAAAAAAACCTACATGCCAGTTTATGCTCAAACTGTAATTAAACCGGAAAGGTAAGATAATTACATTCTCCAAAAGCATTTCAGGACTCATGAGATCTACAAGTTTAACATATCCTACTTAAATAAAAGGCGACGCCTTGCTGATTTCGTAAGATTTGGACTGGACATTGTTCTTTTGCCTTTTAAGGTCCCACAGTCAAGGTCATCAAAGCTATCAGATGCAGCTTCCTGTTTTGAATGATCTTGCGTTTTCACTGAGCGGTAGAACTTTGTAATGCTTTGTTGAATACTACTTGTTTTTAATGATGAACTCTCCTTCTCTAGAGATCGTGGGGTAGAAGCCTTTCTTATTTTTGATCCCTTCAGTTCCTGCATTTTTCAGTGACAAAGATGTAAACTAGGACCCAAACTAGTAGTTTATATAACTGTCTCTTCAACACTCATCTACTATTTGCAAATTAAGGCCATATTTCTTTTGCCAACAATTTTAGTTAACTCTTATAATTCAACGTGAAACTTAATTAAACTAACAAACATTAAACAGGTTGACGTCCTAAATTTTGGCCAACTCTCCATCACCTCTCTTTGGCTGAGTGGCATGTATTTCCATGGTGCTCATTTTTCCAATTATGAGGCATGACTAAGCAATCCTATTCACGTTGGACCTATGCCTAGGTGGTTTGGCCAATAGTGGGCCAAGAAATATTGAACTTACAATTCAATTTCCAGCTCCCACAATCAACCAAAATAATTTCACATAGGGCAGATGATTGATAAGTTGAAAAGTCTCTTTTTCTTTTGGGGGCTCCGGGGGGGGGGGGGGGGGACTTGTTAAGGTAAAGAGTAAGCACCTGCTCTTGCCAAAACCTTTCAACTTTTGCTGGAAAAGCAGCCCTCACAAGATCCATATTTTCATCTGTCAGCAGGAAGCTACACCCATCACCCATATCAGAAATACTAGAATCATCTAGTAGATCCACAAATTCATCATGCTCACTACCATCTGCTTGCTGCATGCTAGAGTCATGAGATGGAACTGTACAGCTAACGTTGCCAACTGCACATTTCCACTTGACAACATAAGATTGATATCCATATCTTATCTTCACACGCTGTATTGAATCAAGCTCGAATGTCCCAAGTACCAAACTTTCTACAGGAGCATTAGCCATGTCTCTCAAAAAGATAGTAGACATCATAGGAAATAGCTGTCGTCGAATGTAAGATGGATCCCAATGCTGATGAAAGTTTAAAAAATCTATCAGCATCTCAATCTTGGGTTTGCCCCATGAGATGCAAGGATCATCACTTGCTGCAACAATTGAAGGACAAAATATAGAATGAATGGCTATTATGAAGTTCTCATAGTTACAGATAGATTAGCAAAACTGAAGAAAATCAACATAAATAGCATATACACCTGAATCCTAAGCACATATTATAAAAACATAACTAAAGGCAATGATAATTAATAAATATCATTGATAAAATACATCTTGCCAATTACAGCTAGAGACAGAATTCAACATACCAGGAAGGCAACCACTGTCTTTACATAAATACATTTCAATTATTTCGTCTCTGGGAAATTTGAGCTCTTGTGCAATTTTGAGACAAATTTTGTGTACCAATTTTCCCTCCTTCTCTGCCCCTTTCGTTTACTAACCTACCAATCCAATGTTAAAAACCTCACAAGTAATACTGAAATGGCCTTGCACACACTCTAACTGATAACTCACTAGCTGAAATGGATGAGACAGCATACCATATCACAGGAAGGGCAACCACAGGTAAAACCCTCTGGTTTTCTCAAGCAACCTTCATCATCACTTGTTATGCAAAATTCACAAGAAGATTTCATATGATCTCTTTTGCTGCCCGGATGCCCACAAAAGGAACAATGAAGCTGTTTTCGGCTTGGAAAGTTCCCCTCCATGTCAACACAATTTTCAGCAGATTTAATGTTGGTGGGAGCTGACGAAACTTTCCCATTGCCAATATCTTGCAATCTGCAAAACGACACTCACATTCCAGATTATTTAATTTGTTACTTTCTAATATTCATTCCATGCCCGAAAATAAAAAAGTATGATACAAGCATGAATATACACCTATTCAACACATCTTCTTCACCGAAACATCTAACAAAACGAAGAGCCGTATCAAGCCCAATCCCCCGAACACCATTTAAATCATAATCATTTCCAACGAGAAGAGAGATAGCTATGAGGTGTCTCCTCTTCAACCCAAGGCCAGCTTCAATATCTTCGATATTGTAGCATTCAAAAGCTTCCTGCTTGCAAATATGCAGTAAAAGTCTTAAATCTTAAACTAGACAAAATAAATCCTTAAAATTTTTTAAAACAATTAAAAAAAAAAAAGAAATAGTGCAGAAGATTGCAGGAAGAAGTGCTCTCAAGTAATCCTCTGTGGTATAGAAAATGCACTTCTCTATTTTTAAAAGGTTGATAAAGAGAAATTTTCAGACAAATTTGGTTTTCCATGACAGAGATTCTGCACATATATTGCTATATTT